AGCAAGAGAACAATATATATGCTACTTAATTTACAAATTTCATTTTCACAAAGTCAAATTTTAAGAGAAAGTTTCATCTATTACTATTATGGATCCATACTATAACTGTACATATTGCACTAGAATCATACTCTTCTTTGTCACAATCCTCTCCTAAATGGAATAGCACCAAAGATAGTTTAGAAACTGATCTAATACGAACAAATTTTAGTCAATAAGATGGACATATTTCTAATGATTGTCTCTATGAAATATATTCATGGGGTAAACACTTGAAGCTTCAGCAAGTGCACTCTACTTATGTGAAAGGGTGGAACAGGTTTCCTTGCAAGTGATAAAACTATCAACTGTCAAACACTGTATAGGCGATTGGACATTATTTGGTTGAGATTTGAAAAAAGTAGTATTTGAAATTGAAGTGGAAAGAGGATTTTCGGAAGTTGAAGTTGTGTTTGGACATGAAAACAAAGTTGAAGTTATATGAGTGAAACTTGAAACTCCTAAAACCTGTTTTTCGAACTTCAAATTCTATGTTTCGGGATTGAAGTTGAAACAATGAGTCAATTTGATTGATAATTTTGGAACCAAAATCTATGGCCAAAATCCAAGTATGTTCAATGCTATGTCAGCACTATGTCAGCATCTGCATGACATTCAAGAAAGGGGGCAAATTTGAACCACGACAGAAGTCTGCACAGCTAATGCTGCTTCTACCAGATTGTTTATCAAGTTGCTGGTTAGATGCCATTGATGATATTGAACATAATATCTGATTACATCAATAAGCAAGTTACTCACTGCTATATCTCGGTACATAATCAGGTAGCACTTCTTATCTGATCCATTTACATCCACCAAACTCAGCTCAAACCGTCCATTTGACACCCCTCGATCATCCATATGAATTCTCACTACCAATACAATCAGTATTCAACATAGATGTACCAATTTTATGCTGATCATCAATGTATCGCAACCCTCCTCCTTCATCCACTTGTGCAGGATAAGGACTGCCAATGTGAGCACTGAGCACCACACCGGACGGATCACAGTAATCAAACAACTACCTTCATTCAATCTCTACTAATACTAAAACATACTGCATGCATACTCTGACAAGATGGTAAATATTAGGTAAAAGCATAAAGCTTGATCCATCACTCACCAATCAATCAACTAACTGAAAATATGAATTCTATACCCATTCTATTCTATCCAAGCTGATTTCACTAAAATTCGTGATAAAACAATTTATTTTCTGAAAGCGCGTGTGTATGAGATAGAGCGCGTGAGCTACCTGATAAACGATTTTCCTTCAAGAGGTTTGTCTGGAGAAGCATTTGGTGACGATTTCGGAGCATAGAGACCTTCAGTTCCCCCATGGAAGAAGAAAGCATTGGACTTTGGAATAAATTGCTCATCTTTGTACTCGTGAATTGAAGATGACACTTTACTGAAAAAGTTGAAAGTAAAGAAAATCAGAACTAGTACGTCGGAAGTAATACGTTTCATCGGTAACCTCGCCGTGATTCGCCGTGTACGGAGGAGCAAAAGGTGGTTGGTCCGGTGATAGTAGAGTTAAGTAGAAGCAGAGAAACTAAAACAGACAATGAACCTACTAGAGTCATTTAACTCTCGCTTACGGCGTCGTTTAAGAGAACATTTGTTATTAGTACTATTTGTATTTATTTTTAGAGATAAATAGTATAAAATGACAGACTAAAAATATAAAATAAATATTGTAGTTATCCTTTGATTTATTTGTGTTTCATAGCAAATTATTTGACAGTTCCTCTCCTTTCATATTCTCGCTTGCCTCTCTTCCTCTCTCGCTTGCTTCCTGTCGTCGCCTTTCTCGCTTTTATACAATAGAATTGTACAAATTGTGTTTCTTATTGTATAAAGCGAGAGAAAATTGTATAAACACATGCAAATACATATATCTTCGTTTTATACACTTATAATTATGCAATACAAATATTTCCCTCTCCAAGTCTCTTTTGCCTTTCTCGTTTTATACAAATTCAAATTGTATATAATTTCTCTCTTTCTCGTTTTATATAATTCAGTACTGTCTTTCTCGCTTTCTCGTTTTATACAATTCAAATTGAATATAATTTCTCTCTTTCTCGTTTTATACAATTAACTTTAATTTTATATGTATAGCGAATTATACATATATAAGTTTATTATTGAGTGCAATTATGCAAACGTTACTGTAACATACCAATATAAATTTTAAAAAAATTATATAATAAAACGTTAAAAAAATTAATCAAATATCTAATCAAACTGCAAACATAGCTCAATTTATCAAGTTAACACATTTAAGAAAATTGAGTAAATCGATTGATATGGTTATCATCACACAACTACGTCACATAGGATGAAACCAAGAATACAATTAAGATTTTAAGGACAAAAGATAAAAATAAGATTTTAAGTTGAAGAAATTTGATCTTTTACTTTATTTATTATAAATTTAGATATTTACACTTATTCAGCGAAATTTTTAATAATAAATACAAATATGAACCATAATTTTTAAATTCTATCAAATTAGACTTGTCTATTCAGAAAAAAGAATATTACTTTTAATAAATTTCTAAGACAATTAAATTCATACGAAGGGTATAACATCAAATTTCTAAAAATGTGATTGTCACAATTCAACTCAAAGAGTTTCATAAATAAATGTTACTCCCACTTTTGCTACCTAGCTACACTCTTTGGCTAGTTTATGCTATGATTTGATTTAACATTTGTTAAAGCAAGGGGGGAAAAGTAGAAGAAACGCTAACTCGAAAAATAATTTTATATTCTATTTTATAATTTATTGAATTCAAAATATCCACACACCCCCCTCCCCGCCACTTTTTAATGAATCACACGTGATGCAGATAAAAATTAATAAAGAACGTAATATGAATAATGGACATCGAATAAAAAAAAAAGAAAAATTATTCTAAAATTTGAAACAACACACGTTTAGAGAACAAAACAAGGTGGTGCTAATCAAGTTGTGTAATTAATTTTCTTGGTAGAAAATTTAGTCTTTCTCACACACAAAAAACTTTAATTTGGGGAAACATATTAATATATATAATTTGATTTTATTAATATGACCGAAATTTATAAAATTACTATACGGATTATGTACATTATATTTTAAATATATAAAGAATCTGTTGGTTACTTTATAAACTAGATCACTCAAAGACAATGAACTAAAAGTATCTCATTAATTTGACACTTTTCATTGTTCGCATCGTACACAAATATGTACTTTAATTTATTTTTATCTGATCTTTACGTTCTATAATTTTAAATGTACACAAATAAACACTTAAACTAGTATGAAATTGAATAAATAGATAATCATCCTATTTTTTTATGTCTTATATAAGTGTTGTATGTGTATTATGCCATATAACTTTTTTAATTTCATACAAATTTAAGTATTCAGTCATCCACATTTAAAATTAAAAGACGTAAATGTCACCTGAAATCAAATTAAAAAAAAGACATATTTACGTATTTGTGTTTTTCTTGTTTGTTCCCTTACCCTCTACTTCTCCACTTGGGGAAAACTTGTTACCATAATCTATATTTGACATTTTTCCTCCATGAAACAATATAAACACCCTTCTCTCACTAGCTTCCAACAGTCAATTAAGGGCTCGTTTAGATGGGCTTAATAAAAGCAGCTTTCAAAAAGTATTTTTAAAAGTGTTGAAATTTATTTTTAAAATAAGCAGTTATGTGTTTGGATAAAAGTGTTGAAGTTAAAAAAAAATATATTGAAGCTAAAGTAATTATATACCACCTAGCAATAAATCCTTGGTGCTAACTTCAAAGTATATCAATGGAACTTCTTTTTTGTTTTTAAAGAAAGTATCAATGATACAATGTCAACTACTTTTTAGTGCTAATAAGAAGTTCATACTTTCTTTCATGCAAATTGAAGTACATAATTCTATATGTATATTACTTTATTCTTTATCTTGTGGTGAGGGGGAAAAAGGAAACAAAAGAGAAAAGTAGAAGAATTTGTCCACTTTCTTCGTTTTTAATAGATAACTATTCTTTCTAAATTATGATCGAATTTTCAGTAACACATTAATTTAAGTAGGATCTTATTATCTTTGTCGAACTCATTTTTTCTGTAATTTCATGCACCTTTTCTGCTGACTTGTGCACACTCTCTATGTCACGTCAACTTTTGGAATATGGCTTATTTCATTTTAAAATAATTTAGAAGGTAATAAGATCCAAATAACTTAGAAAGGTACTTATATGTTATCTCCATTTCTTATTGAGTAATATTGCACTATGCATGTTTTATTGTTTTGATGAATTATATCATTTTATATCGATTCATAGTGTCACACGTTAGTGATATAAAGAAATACACTTATAATATTACAAAGAAAAAAGTACGGGATAAAATTATTATGAAAAAGATAGGATAATTAAATGATAAAACGTTATCAAATAATAAGTAAGCGAGACAAAGGGAAAAAAAAGGTAATCACGTGATTTTACATCAAAGCAATTATTATATAAAATATTTTTTATTTAAATAATTAATACAATGAATATTAAAATACGTTACAATAAAATCGAAACGAATTATTAAGATCCTCTAAATAAGTTGTTAGATGGTAACTTGTGTGATCATAATACGTAAAAGCTTCACAAATGACAGGTAAGACACATTTTATTCACCTAACTAATTATATTTCAATACTTCACTTTTCTTTTTTTGGCTTAATTAAGCAAGCACGTGAGAATAGTTTGATTTGAATTCGTAATTTTTATTTTGATATAATATTGAAAGTGTACGATCATTATATATAAATTTAATTAAAATAATTATTGTTATTTTATTATTCTCCCATCATAATTATATATATATTGTTCATTGTGATTTGTGTGTATTTCCACTCTAGGCATCCCCACCTAAATTTTGGCAAAAGTTGGAAATAGTGCATACATTTTTTTTATTTTTTGGTAGTTGCTAATGACATATAACTCCACTTATCTCAACACATCCCATCCATCTTTCTACAAGCAAATTAAATATTATATCTATGTGTTAAGACCAATCTCAAAAACTCAAAAATAATAAGAACACCAAACAAATTATCAAAACTCTCTCTATTGAATTCATGGCTACTGATGCCATTAATTACTTGGACACCATATTAGTTCCTTTGAGTCTTTTCATCACAATTGGTTATCATCTCTATCTTTGGCATCACTTGAAGCATAAGCCTTCTCACACAACTATTGGTATGAACATGCTTAAGAGGAGATCTTGGCTGCGTGAGCTCAATCAAGTAAGTTATTCTTCCCTTTCATTCTTTCGTTTTATATTTACGACTCGCGTCAGTATTTTTAAATTACGATACTCTTTATCACAATTTTTTTTTGGCTTAGAGAGGTTTGGATAGATTATTCATACCTATTGATTGATTTTTTTAAAAAAATAAATAAATATAGTGTCAAAATTATTGAGTTCTATTAAACTCGTGATGACGCCTGATTTAAATCAAAGTCGGAGTCACTATATTTTGTTTATTGGTTCTTGATCATAATAATTTTTTTTTTGCATATTAGGTACTGGATAGATTGTTCATTTATTATTTATACATATTAAATGGATTTTTTAAAAAAAATTTAAATATAAGATTTGAGTCAAAGTTATTGAATTCTATCAAATTCGTAATTACCTTTGTGGATCCACCTTTGATTTAACCATAGGCGGGGTCAGGATTTTTCGTTTATTGGTTCACAATTCCTTTAGCCGAGTGAGTTATTCATACATATTACATGAATGTTTAACACGACTATAAAATTTGAGCCAAAGATACTGAATGTTACCAAACTTGTAATTTACTATTGTGGCTCCGCCCTTGATTCTAATGATCAAACATAGATCTAGCTAGGGTTACTATGGTTTTGATATTATGTTTTTGAATTTATTGACTCTAGATGTTTGACTTCGCGTTTCTCTTTTTTGTATGTGTTATAGGGAAGTGAAAAGAAAGGGACATTGGCTGTACAAAGTTTACGAAATGCATTAATGGAGACAATACTAACAGCAACAATCACAATTCTCATAACATTAGCAGTGGCTGCATTAACAAACAACACATTAAAAGTTAGCAACTTATTTACTAGTGCTTTTTTTGGGTCACAAACAGGGAAAACAATTGTATTAAAATATGGATCAGCAACAATTTTCTTGGTGGCTAGTTTCTTGTGTAGCTCAATGGCACTTGGCTTCTTAATAGATGCTAATTTCTTGGTTAATGCCTTGGGGGAATTTTCTATAAATCCAACACATACAGAGACCATATTTGAAAGAGGATTTACATTGGCTTTTGTTGGTGACAGAGTACTCTGTATGACATTTCCTCTTTTGTTTTGGATGCTTGGTCCTGTTCCTGTGGTTGTCTCTTCAATAGCATTGGTTTGGGGTCTACGCGAACGCGATTTTGCTGGAAATTTATCAACAACTATGAATAAGACTCGTGCTTTGCTTGAGGGGGAGTGTTGAAACATGGATTGAAGTAATTATGTATGAAAAAATTAAACTCGAGTTAGAATATGCTAAGTTAAATATTTGTGTGAATTATTGGGGTTAGGGTGGGGGGGTTATGTATCTTGTATTTGAAGGGGAAAAGGACTTTGTTTAGTAGTGTATGTTGATCTCATGATATAATATTAGTTTTGTTGAAATATAGTTTGAGATAATAATATATTGTCGATATATATGAAAGTTAAACTCGTGTTAGAATAAGTTAAAGTATTGTGTGAATTTGTGGGGTTAGGGTTGGGATGGGGATTATGCATCTTGTGTTAATTTTTTTTTTGAGTTCTAAGCTTGAAAGTTTGCAATCATAATGTATATTCATTTTACTTGTTATGTATTTTCATTTTACTTGTCATATATTTTATTTACGCGAATCTTAAAAGAAGTTATATGTTTGAGCTATCATATTCTTATTTTTTATTTCCTTTAACAAAGTGAAATATTGGGGTTATGATGCATTCCCTAAGAAAAAGACAAAAAATAAAGTACAGTTTTTATAATACTTTTTTATTATATCTATTTAAATTATTCTCAGAAAAGTGTAAAACAATTAAAGACTATGAAACAGATCTCAATAATTAACTTACTATGAACTAAGGGGTATCTTTATTCATTTAACATGTTATCTATTTGCAGTAAAAAAAAAAAAGAGGAATTATCTAAGCAACCATATTATATGTGCTTTTCTTAAGTTTTTTGTGCTAATTACTCAATGTATATGATTTTCGAGAATAATTATTAGAGATAACGTATAAGTATCTTTAGACTATGATCGAAATCTCATAGACGCACCTTAACTAAACTAAGTAACTATACCCCCTCCTTCCCCCTCCCTCGAACCTTTTGTTTTTGTAATTTTATACACCTTTTGGCTTACGTGACATCCAAATAAATTCCACACGCTTCAATTGTGTGGTGCCACAGAATATGCCACGTAAGTCAAAAGGTGTACAAAATTACCAAAAAAAATGAGTTCAAAGGATAATTGAAACTTAATTTAGTTAAGGTACGTGTTTGAGATTCCGATCATCTTCTGAATGGATACTTGTGCCTTATCCCTAATTATTATTATTGACTAGAGCAAAATGAGAAGAATATATTAAATTATATCTTGATTTTTCTAAAATAACATCTATTTAATAAAGAACGGCAAGTAAAATGATCAAAAGGAAATACAATTTATGATATTAGTTATAACTATTATAAGATATAACCTAGATATAATATAGCGTGTGTTTAGGAAAATATTTTGAAGAAAATTGTCGCAACGCAAAATTTCATTAGGCTGTGAGGAGTGAATTTGATACCATAGTAATTTTCCCTAATTTTTATTACTTAATTAAGGCAGATTTATTAATAATTTTATTCAAAATTTATAATAATTATTAGTTTGGTGTGAACATTATGTGTGCAAAATATTATCCAATCTGAACTTATTAATTAATATAATATGTTGTCACCTTAATATTGTCATCATATTTAGTTGTTTGGTTGCTTCACATCCTTGATCAAATTTACAAGTACATCTATAATAATTCCTGCATATATCAATCAATTATAATAAAAAAAAAAAAGTGTCAATTACAATTTTAATGTATTTATTGAAAAAAAAAATTAACCTTGGATGTGGAAAATTGAGGATCTCTTTTTGGCCATATTTTCTCCAAACATGGCCATCATCCACCAAAGTTGAAACTTCTTTTATAGTTGTAGCTGAAATTTTTCTGTACAAAATATTAGTAAATTGTGTTATCTACCATTCTTACTAATGATAATTATTAATACTCCCTCGTTCGCAATTCACGTGAAATAGTTTGAATCAACATATATAATGAAGGTATTTTAAAAGTTTGGTTTTAAAGCATGTCATAGCATATTGGGGTTATAAAAAAATTTCATTTATTATAAAATTTGAAGAATGAAGTTGATTTTATCCAAATTTTAGGAGTGTATCATGACTACTAGAAAAATCTGGATATTTTATCTGGACTAACTCGTATGCGTATTTCACAAAATATCTATCATAAGTAATAGATATCAACTAAGTCTGTCCAACAAGTGGTTGAGGTGGAAAACCATGGATTTTCGAACGAAAAGTCCATCGAAAATCAGGGGGTGGGGGAATGAAGTAATGGTAAAAGTATTAACTACAAACACAAACATTGATTATCACCTTCTCTTGTTGCATCTTTCTTGAATAACACCTTTTAGTGGAGAAGTGTTGCAACTACCAATTGAGTACTTGGAACTTAGAGAAGATGAAAATTGATGCAACTCAATTCTGGAGCTTAATATTGAGAGTGTTTTGGAAAAAGAAGTCATAATTTTCCCAACCAAATCCTTAGCCAACATAATATTAATGTTATGTTTCTTCATCAAATATTTTAGCTCATTTGTGAATTTCTTACCACAGTTCAACTCTTTTATTAATCTTCTCATATCAGCTACCTGAGGAATTAATTATATCCATACTATATACTATACTTGAAGTATTACAAATGCACTATATGTGTGTGTATATATAGCAAGAAGTCAACAAGTGTTAGAGCCTCATGCCCCCCCACCCCACCCCACCCCCAAATTAATAGTCAACTTAAGTTGAACAATTGCATTAGGAGCGGAGTAAGGTAGGATCAAATGATGTTTCTTTTGGTAAAAACTTGTATAATATAATGTTTATATATGATAAAAGAATATTTTTCATGTATATATATAGTAGATGTTGAGCTATTTTTAACTTTGTCCTATGTATACTTCTTCATACTTAATTTGGACTAATTCAGTTAAATAAAAATTCTGATTTTTTCACTACATTTCATCGATATAAAAATAAGATAAAATAAAAGCTTATTATACAATTTAACTACCCTTAATTATTATTTTAAAAAAAAAAGTTACTTCATGACCAATGACCAAATAAAAATAATTAAAGTGGCCATGTTATGGTTAATTAAGGAGCGTTAAGAAAATGTAAAAGCACACATAATTAGTGACGTTTGTAATGTGTTGTTATCCTTATATCATCATCCACGTGCCAAAGAATTAATTTTATTAAACGTTAGTTAGTTGCTGTTTAATTTTTTTTAAAATGTAGATAATATTTATTTTCTACTAATTAATAATGATTTAGTCAAAAGTGCAAGTTGTTGGGGTTGGGATATTTTAATCTCATTAACGAACATTTTGGTGGACATATTTGGATAGGTTATAGTTGTATATAAATAACTTTCAGTGTTCACACATGAAAATTAATGTCAAAATTATGTTGACTTTATTATATTAAGCTTTTGGCATGGTTGAGTTAAAAAGAAATTAAGTTGATCATCAATTATCACAAGTGTTTACACATGCATATTAAGTCCGTTACAAAAACATGAGATTAACCTACTAATCTCTACACTAAGTAATACTCCATATACTTAGCTGAGCACGAGCAGATACAATACTGCTCTCTATACTAATTTCACTTGATTAATATAGACTAGAAGTAAAGACCTAAATTACTCGTAACTCAGCCTTACAATGATTCACCCGAGTCTAAAACGTTTCTATCACAGCTGAAACAAATCCTACAATCTAAGAACGATTACAAGAAAACAACATACAACAAACACAAAAAGCAATAAATTACTTTGCACGGTTTTCTTGTTGTTCTTGAAGCTCGAAGAATTCTCTCCTTTTGAATGAATGAATGATATTGTTGTTTGATCTTTGATATATATAAAATGAAAGATTATTATCCATCAGAATAACTACTTAGTCATTCCTGATTGGTGAAGTATTCTGCGTTTCACCAACCTTCCTGACGCAGACAGCTTTTACAGCTATCTAGCAAATCCGACAACTTGAACTAGTTCCATTCTCTGTAGTGGATCAGGTCCATGCAGTTGTGAGGATATTATCAAAAACATCATGAAGCACAGAGTCGTATCACACAAAAATAAAATAAAAAATTTATGTAGACTTTATTTCTCCAAACCCCATTTATTAAATCACAACGATACATTGTAATAGTACTAATTTTGAACCATTTGACAAAAAATTAGGGGGACACTTTGGTAAATTACACACCTTTTAAGTGATGACGCATAAGTAATATGGGAATCGTTTAGTTCATTAAAATATGGGTTTGTGTACTTATCAATAATCATAGTCAAGGGCGAATTTAGGGAATCGCGAGACGAAAGCACTTCTAAAATTAACGCAAATTATTAGTTTTGTTCTCGAATTATTGATATTTTTAAAAACATTTCTCTATTTGATTAACTATCCCAGTTATGTTTGATGACATATCAAGTGGTCTCAAACTCTTGTAAAATCATGTGACTCTTAGTAAAAAGACGAGAGAAGTGTTCAAAATACCTCCATCAACTTGGCGAGAATTTAGGATTGTATTCCATTCATGTTGCAAGATCGGGGTATATTTAAGTTAAGTTTGTCAAATAAAAAAGTGTTTTTAAAATTGTCAATAATTCAAAAATAAAACTAATAATTTATGTCAAATTTAAGAATATTTTCAACACACTTCTCTTATATACAAAGTATTTTTTAAAAAGATATTGAATCACTTGAATATAGTTCTAACTTTTGACCCATTTCCATATATGATATATCAAAGGTTTGAGCTGGTGAAAAACTATTATTATACAAGTTATCATGTGAGTTGTGACAAAATTATATATATATATATATATATATATATATATATATATATATATGGATTAGTGAAAAATTCGATTAAAAGTAGTCATACAAAAGCTTAGAAAATGGGATAAGAAAGTTGATAAATGGGATTAGAAAAAGTTAGATATTTTGTTTTAGGAGAATAATACATGGGATTCATCAACACCATGAGAAAAACAAAGTTTAATAAGTGGAAGGATAGTAATTTTCAATACCTTAAATATAAATATATTTTTGATTCAATAGATAGAAGAGAAAAGCTAATTTAATCCAATAAGTGAAAGAAAATAACAAATTCAAATCAATATATAAAAAAAACTTTTTAAAATTATTTCCAATATGTTAAAAATATCTGGTGTTTTTACTCTTATAAAAGGGAAAAGAGTCTGAAAAATATTTTAACTTTGATCGAAATTGTTATTACGATATCAAACTTTATGAAAAATCTTTTACCATATAAAAACCCTAAATACCCCTAAACCTGAATTCCTAAATTCCTAAATCCTAAG